CAGGGCAGGGAGCTAAGCGTGCTATTGTTAGTATACTGGGCAGAGGAACGGGTGGGAGAGGCAGGGACTGGACGAGACTGGAAAGCAGGCTGGGGTGATGACAAAGGTGTGTATGAGCCGCAGCTGATGTCTTGGGCCTCTTTTATTCCAACTGACTTGGGAACTGACTCATAACTCCATGTCCCAGTCCCATCTCCACAGCATGTCTGCTTTTGCTCCTGCCAGGGGGCCTGTGGCTTTTTGTGGGACACAGATGTATGAATAAGGACAACATTGACAGGGAGGTGATGAGCTGCTAGAACAGCAGCTGGAGTTACGGGCTGGTTTTGGAACTTATGCCTCTCGACAAGTTGCGTGAGTGAGGATGTCACCTCAACCCTCTAGGCCTCAGTTTCCTTCCCATGTTGGGCCAAGTGATCTCTCACATCCACGGAGCCCTGGGCTGTCTCTGAGTCTCAGGTGTTTGGGGATTCCCAAGAACTCGGCTAGGTGCTAGGCCTTGTTCCGAGAGCCTGTGTACAGATGCCGCCTTTGCATCTGAGCAAGAGGGACAACCGTGATCTTGCAACCCACAGTCGTGGCCTGTGATGCATGCAGCCATTGTGGAAACCCTCTCCACCTGCCACACTCGGGCATGACCTGCTCTCCTGACCTAGGCAACAGGGCCTGCAAGAGGGAAAACGTCTGAAGAGCAAGTCCTCATGAAAAGCTGGGCATGGTGACATGTGCCTATGGTCCTAATGACTTGGGAGGCTGAGGCAGGAGGATTGCTTGAGCCCAGGAGTTTGAGATTAGCCTGGGCAACATGGTGAGATCCCATCTCTTAAAAAAAAAATGAAAAATGAAAAATAGTAGGTCCTCACAGGAGTGAATGCACCAGGAACCATGTGGGCATTGCAGCAGTTCTGCAGACATAAATTTTTACTTTTTAAATTTATTTATTGAGCACCAATATCAAGGAGGTATGGTGCACTCCCTCAAATTCTCACAGAGATTCCGCAAGATTGATGTTATCATATATTTTATAGAGGAGAGGACTGTGGCTTGCAGAGGTTAAATGAAAGGTGAAGGTCACATGGCCACTAAATCACAAAGCAGGTTCTGGGCTGACTCACTCTGAAGCCACCTGCACCTGCCATAACCATTCACACATTCACACCTTCAGCGGTGACCCTCCCTGAGCCTGAGACTAGTCCCTCCATCTCTGCTCCCACCCGATCTCCTGTAACTTCTCCCTTTCGTCCAAAGGCCCACGGTCAAGTGCACATCTGCAGCACCAACAAACCAGTGCACAGAAATCTTTCCCTTGTCCCCAGGACCTCCCTCCTTCCTGTCCTGGCCACAGGCACTGCCTCGGTGTCTCAGCCCCGTTTTCTCCCCGGCTTATTGCACTTCACTAGAATCACTCTGGGTAGGACCTCCAAGGACCCTTCCATTGTCAGACTCAGTCGGTAGCTTCCAGTCCTCACAGCAGTAGCAGGTGACACTCTTGACCACTTCCTCATTCAGCCACTCTCCTCCCTGTTTCCGTGGCTCCCTCTCCCCTCCCCAGCCCATCCCTTCAGTGCCATCTTCTGAAGGGCTCTCTGCCTCCAGCCCTTCTCCCTGCAGAATATTCCTGGCCCATCACCTTCGGTCATGGCTACCACCCTCCTGCTCACGGACGGCTCTCCAGTGTCTGTTTTCCACCCCTGACCTCAGCTCTGAGTTTCCGTGTCACAGATGGAACTTGCAGACATGGCCCCTGAGTCTTGTCTTGGACACAACTTCTAGACATGGCCATGGGTCTTCAGACTCAACGTGTTCAAAATTGGACCCATCATTTTCTTCTCCCAGATTTGCCTCTCTTCTTATGTTCTCCTCACAGCCAGTGCTGTTCACTCTCCTACCTAAGCAGGGAACTTAGATAATCCACCCGGGAACCCGTGTGGGACGCTAGACTCCTGTCGGGCCTTTACACCCCCAGCGCACCACACACACCATGCCCACATGCAACCGGTCGCTAGGTCCTATCGCGTCTGCACCGAGACACCTCCCGTATCAGGTGTCTCCTCCTCACACTGCCGCTGTCTGAGCTCAGGCCCTCCAGGGACAGCAGTGCTAGCCTCTCAAAGTGCTGTGCTCACCTCCCACCTCACCTCTGCCCACCCATCCCTATCCTGCAGCTGGAAGGCTCTTTCTCCCATGGAAAGCTGGTCTTGTCCCTTCCAGCCAAAACCCTTCAGGGATTCTCCATTGTCTAACAGCCTCACTGCCATCCACCTCCCCAGACTCAGCTCCCATCCCCCACCAACCCCTGCTCTGCTCAGGGCAAAACACCTGCAGGTCCCAGCTCCCCTCTGGACTGTCGCATGCTGCTCCCACTGCCTGCAAAGCCTTCCCTTCCACTCTTCCCCTGGTGAAGTCCCCACGCCTCCCCCAACACCCAGATTCCGCTTCAGAAGCCTTCTCTGACCTCCCCGGGCCGAGCTGAGCTGTCCTGCTCTCTGCTTCCCTCACGCCTGCCCATGCCATTTGTCACAGCCCCTACCACACATTAGCCATGTTTGTGGACAGGTGTTCCTTCTCCCTGCACCGTCTGTGCTTGCATTCTCGGCACAGTGCACAGAACCTGGCACACCCTGCCTGTGAGAGTAGATGTTGTTGAATAATAATACACAAGGGCATGACTTTGGGGTGAGGTGCCCAACTTGAGCCCTAGCAGATATTCATAGCATCGCACAACTTGGCAGAGATAAAGCCCGACCACTTCATCTATTCAGCCTTCATGTGCTGAGGACCTTCTTGGGGTCAGGCACCACCACACTGGGCACCAGAGTCCAAGATGAATTATGCACTGCCCTGGCCCTCACGGAACTCAGAGGTCAGTGGTTACAAAGCCCAGGTAAGAGCATCCCTGGTTCACCGTGGCCTCAGGATGGATGAATGTGTGCACTTCTCTTGTTGGGGACGTGGGGGAGGCTCTGTCTCACTCTAGATGTTGTAACTGGGAACAAAGTCATTCAGATGAGGATGGAGAGGACTTACACTTAGGGATGTGGTCAGCAGCATCGCCAGGTTGCACTTGGGGGCTGAGGGTGATGACCCCTAACACGGACAGCCAGGGGCCGTGGAAAGATTCCCAACCTTGTGCCACAGGTGCCTGTGTAATATGTCCCAGCTGGCATTCATGTCTGCATTCCGTGTCTGCATCCAGAGGGCGACATCTGTGTCGGTATCTGTGTGTGTGGTGTGACCTGCCGTTCTGGGTGGTCTGAGGAAGTAGAAGATGAATAATAAAGACCCCATGTCTACTAGGGGAGCTAATAGGCACACGTACACAAATAAGCAAAATGCAACAACTCCCAGAGGGATTGTGGAATAGCATCTATAAAATGCTTTGAGTTTCAACCAAAGGCTCAGTGAGCACAGTGCTAAATGGGCCAAGGGCACAGGCCAATTACCTAAAACAGCTCTTGTCACTGGCTATGAGTGACCCCTAAACCCAGCTGACCACATTCTGGGAAGCCCCATTGTGCACAAATTGGAGGGGCCTGTCAGATACTGGGGAGAGTCCAGGCCATTCTGACTTTGCTGTCTCTTCCCTAAGCCAAGATGTCTGCTCTCCTTTTAATTCTGCATGACCTGGTAATGGGACTCATCGCAAATCATGTGAATTCAAAATGCCCCAAGCTTCAAAATATATGCTCTCCCTTTACAAAGTTAACATGATCATTTCTGAGTTTTTAGAGAAATTGATTCACTGAGTGCAAAAACACTGCTTAAATCAGACAGCATACTATACAATTTTTTAAATCCCAGTTTTTAAAAAGTATTGCTTGGTTTCAGAAGAGAAACAGTCTTTTGTTGACGTGGATGTCAGGGGAACAGTACTAAAAAAACATCAAAGATAGTCACACACACATATCCCAGAGCATTCATAGGGAACACCCTCTGTCTTTCCCATATGCGGCGTGGAAAACGAGGCCAGAATGATCCTGCAGAAACTTCCTGATGAAAACAGCCCCGTCAGCCCTTCCCAAGCTTGAAACCGGCTGCTGAGTAACCCCAGCCAGGGCTGCAGCGCTCGCTCGGTTCCTGGCTCTCCCGACGCTGTGCCCTGCAGGCAGTGCCTGCCCGCGGCCAACTGACGGCCTCACAGACCCTCTGCCCCCTGACGTGGCTAGGTGCTGGGGACAACCCTTCTACGCAGCCCGCAAGATTCAGGCAAACCCAGGAGTTACGAGAACCAATTCACCGCTATCCCCCGACGCCCACATCCGCAGGGCGGCTCTGTGTCGCCCTCCCCCCTGCCCCCATCCCGGCCAGGCCCGTGCCTCCTCCCTGCAGGGGGCTCTAGGGGCCTGCCCATCTCCCCAAAGCAGCTTTTGGCAAAAAAAAAAAAAAAAAAAAAAAAAGGCGGAGCCTTCCTTTGTTCTTTAACCAGGTAAAGTCTAAGTTTATGGAATTCAAATTATCTAAAACCCCACTCCCACCTCCCAAGAGTGCGATCCCCTTCCACCTCATCAACGTGGGTGTGGCCGGATCCTCATCCACGCCACCCGATGTGTTCCTGGCAGCGATGTGCTCTTCGCCGTCTCCACCGCATTTGAGTTCTCCCAAGCAACCCCTCCTTGCCAGAGGTGCTATCATCCTCCATTTTACTATGAAACGATGAGGTGCACAGAAAATAACTGTGCCCTGGGTCTACATTACTCCACCCAGGGCACTGAGCCAACCAGTATTTCTCCCGAAATATACTCTCCAGAGGCAGGTCCGGCCACCCTACCAGTTTGTGTATCTCAGGCAAGTTCCTTAACCTCCTGAACTCAACTTTCCCTGTCGCAAAATGAGCGCGAAAATAGGTTGTGTAAGAGTAATAAATTAATACGTGGCAAAGACTTAGAACACACTGACAATATAAGCCCTGAACATTTGTCTTATTATTATTATTTCCCCAAAAGCCAATCAATCTTATTTCCTGGTGAAAACCTAGGCTTGGAGACCCTGTAAGGAAGCGAATGTCCAGACCTGCCAGGGCACGGCCTGCAGAAAGAAAAAATAAAGGAAAAGGAGCCAGACCCCCGCTCAGCATCCGTGCGGATGGGGTCCGCCGGCCTGAGCCCCGGACGGGTGGGAAGACGTGGCTTCTAGAACCGGGTACGGCGGGGACGCCGCTGCAGCCCGGGAGGGCCCTCCAGATGGTCACGCCTGCCAACCACTCGGACCGTCGCTGCACGCCCCCTTCGAAAGGCGCTGTGGGGGTGGGTGCCCAGACGCCTGTGGGGTGGTGGGTACCAATCACGCCTGTGCCCGGGACCGGGCTGGCCCCGCGGAGCCTGGCCGGGGCCCGCCACAAACTCTCACCCCACGGCCGGGCCGCCAAGGCCCGCCCCGCCGCCCGCCCGCGCTCCGCCCGCCGCCGCTCGCGGGTCGGAGTTCCTTCTGGCTCTTGTCGGCGACGTCCAGCCGGCTCCCGCCCCAGCGCGCCGCGCGCGCCGCCGGCCCCTGCCCGCCGCGCCGGCCGGGCGCGCTCCTGGGGGGAGGGCAGGCGGCGGCGCGGACGGAGGTCGGGAGTGCGCCGCAGCCTGGCCAGGCGGGGGCCGCAGCCGCGCAGACCGCCCTAGGAGCGCAGCCGCCCACCACTGCTCATGGCCGCCGGCTCCGGCCCAGCAGCCCGGCTCGGCCGGCAGCTGCAGGAGGAAGGGGGCCGCCGAGCGCGACTCCGAGTCCCCGGGGGGCCAACCGCGGGCCGCCGGCAGGCCTCCCGAGCCGCGCCCACGCCCGCCAGCCCCGACGGGCCAACTCCCGCCGGCCCCCAGGCCACCTGCTCCCCGGCCCCCTGAGGGCCACGAGGAGCAAGCGACCTGCACCCCGATCCCCGCGCTGGCGGTCTCCGGCGGGGCTGCTGCTGCTGCTGCCGCCGCCGCCGTCGCTCTGCCAGATCGGTGAGTGGCCGCCCGCGCTCCGCCGGGACCCCGCCGTGCCCGTGCCCCGCCGCCAGGCCCGGCTGTAGGAAGGCCCGCGCGCCGCGTGTTTCCCCCGGAGCCGGCCAGCTCATTCTATAGCTGGGTGGCACACGCGAGGCCCTGAGCCCCTTCGCATCATCTCCACGCCCCCCTCAAACTACCACGGCGGCTCAGGTGCCGGGCCGAGCGTGGATTAGTCCCTGGCCTCCTCTCGGGAGGAGTGGGCGGTGGATTGCGCGGGGCCAGACTGGGGCGCGCCAGTGGTGAATGGGTTTGCGGGGCAAGAAAAGGGCAACTTAGTGCCCCGCGAGGCTCCGTGCTTCCTCGGGACCCCCAGGGTCTGATTACGCATGTTCTTCGTGTTGGGAGGGATGAGGGACGGTATTGTGTAGTCGCTAATTCCCGGGAAAGCGGCAGGCTGGAAGCTCAGGAGGAGGTCCCTGAAGCAGGTGACAAGCCCCCAGTAACGGCCCATGCCGGCGGTGCGCTAGCCCTTTGCAGAGAGGGTTTCCTAAGCAATGTGTGCAGGCGAAACCCCCGAGCCCGCGCTGGGCAGGTGGAACGGAGGAAGGGGACCTTCCACAGGCTAGAGTCACCTGGCTGGGTGCGGGTTCTACCACCATGTCACCAGAGGAACAGTGTATGGCCAAGAGACCGCCCCAACCCCTTTGTACAGGCGGGAACTACGCTCTCAGGAAACAGGGTGAGCAGCATCTTAGACACAGTGGAAACTCCACCTGTCTCTCATGAAACAGAGAGCTGAGCCTTAGAAACACCCCCTTCGTGTTCCTTTTAAAGGGGACCTATTACTACTTTTGGGAGACTACTCTGCAAACCCAACCACAGTAGGTGTCCTAAGGACCCTAGGACAGGTTGTCTCAGCCCCAGGCGAGAGGCGCATTTCTTAGTCTCTCTTGTCTACCTGAGCACGTGTCTGCAGGGAGAAAAAGCAGAGGCGGTGCTCCCACCTTAGGGCCGGGAGGACTGCAGTGACAACCCAGACAGGGAAGGGACTTGCTGGCTGGTGCTGGCGGTTTGGGACTGGACTTTAAGGGAGAGATGGGATGGCAGGACCGTCTCCTCTGCACCACAGGGACCTTTGGTGGTGGGCAGGGCTGGCGCCCAGAGAGCGAGCAGGCTGGGGCAGGCTGGGGCGTCCTCCAGCGGCTGTACTCCACCAGCCTGGCCTGAAAGGGAAGGGCACCCGTGGGGGGGAAGGACATGTGCTCCCAAGGAAGGGCCTCAGCATGAGGAACAGTGGGAGCAGCTTTGAGGATGGCAGTCACCACGGATTTGCCCAGCGTGGGGTGGGGATGGAGGAGGTGCTGGAGGGTGGAGGCCCTACCCCGTCCTGCTCTTGGGGCAGTGGCCTTGGGGTGGTCCTTCCCAGGCCACCTTTTCTGGAGGAGCCTCTTAGCACCGCCCAGAAGTGAGACAGGCTGTGTCAGGAAAGGGGGGTTCCTTCCTAGTGCTTCTGAGCTTAAGAGGCTGAGCCACCCTTTCTTAGAGAAGAGGGTGGGGGCTATGGGAAAAGACCCCCACTGCCTGCCCTTAGGGCAGATGCTCTGGAGCCCCAGTGGGGAAAGCCCCCACCCCAGCTCACGGGGACTGTCTTTCCTGGCACCTGGGCACTGCCCAGAAACCATGTCTTTCCCAGGAAGCCCTCCCCAAGCATAGCACAGGGCAGGAGCTTAACATGTGGTAAACAAAAAGGACCATAACCCAGCTCCTGCCCCAAACAGCAAGTCCCTTGGCTGTCCTGAGCATCGTCGCCTGCTGCCATTACAATAGGCAGTAACTTGGGAGGCTAAAGTGGCTAGGGAGAGCATTGTGGTGGTGATAATGATTTGCATACGTTGGGGCCAGAAAAGGCTGAGGGTTGCAAGTTTAGCGTTTAGTAGCTGTGGCAAATTGTACACGGTCCTCTAGAGACTCAGTAAGGCCAGCTTCGTCTCTGCCCTTCCAAAGGTGTGGCCGGCAGCCTGGGCTGCTATCATTAGGAATGGCATCCCCCCACCCCACCCCTGCCAAAGGTTGGAATTCAGTGATTTGATTCAAAGCAACATAAGTTTATAGCTCAAGTCTCCGTAACAAAGGAATTACTTCCCATTCCTCCCAGTTTACCTTCTACCAGGGCGGGTGGCACAGTCTACAGCATCAAAAGCATTAAACCCAGGGGCCCAATAGTACATGAAATGCCTTTTCAGTGCTTTTAGGTTTGATAACCATTTGGCTGAACCACATGGCATGTCATACCTCTGAGCCTCAGTTTCCTTATCTGTGAGATAGACTAAAAGTGCAGAAGGGACCTTTAGTGCCACCAGGAGAAGAGTTCTAGAGTTGTGTGTTGCCTCAGCTGCCGAAAGGACAGGCTGATCTGGTGCTATCGTCCGATAGAGTCATTCGATGGGTGAATTCTGGGCAAGAGAAAGACGGCTTGGTGTGGTGGAAACACTCAGATTGGGTCAGACAGACATGAGTGATTGGACAAGATAAGGAACTTCTTTGAGCCTCAGTTTCCCCATATGTAAAATGATAACAGCCCTACCTTGCAGGTTGCTTTGAAGATGAGAGATAATACATGTCATGGGCTTGGCCTTGCGCCCAGCTCAGTATCGGCACTCAGGAAGAGCTATGATGATTGATAAAGCGCGTGTATTAAGCACCTGGTCATTTCAGGACACCCCAAGCATCGTGGGTGTCAGCAGGTGTGTAGTAGTAAAAACTGGAGCCCCAGCGCCACTCGGTGGGGAGGTGTGTGTAAAAGAGCATAAGGTTTGGAAGATGTGGGCTGGGGAAAGCTTCTTGCAGGAGGAGGGTTTCACATAGGGCTTTTTAAATAAAAAGGGTCAGGGATTCCTAGTGTGGCTGAGGCTCAGTGACTTGCAGGGTGTAAGGGGACATGCAGATTAGGGACTGGGGGTTCTTGAGATGGGGTCAGTGAACTGCAGCAGGGCTTTGGAGAAGAGAGAAGCTGTCAGAACTGGAGAGAAAGTTCTGTGGGATGGGGTAGGGGTCCATGGGTGCTTCTAGCATGGTGCTGCTTGGGACAGGACTCTGAGGCAGGAGTGAGCAGGACCTTGGGGGTTGGGAGCCCAATTGTCACAAAGGCATCATGGGACAGCCTGGCCAGGGACTAAGGAGGGGAGCCTGGCATGCCCAGGACAGCCCTCAGGGGCTTGCCCAGGCCTAGGGAGAGCCACAGAGGTTGCTTCAACCTCCCTTTTCCTTAAGAATCCATGTTTGAAGTGGGGACTCCTGCTGGCGGTGGATTTGACACCACTGCCATGGGGAAGCTAGGAGGGGCAGGGGACTCTGTGGTTAGGATTCTCCTGGGCCGGGAGGGTGGAGAGCCAGCTCCTATCCATCCTCAGGCACAGGCGCCACCTGTGCTGAGAAGCCTTCCCTGGTGTCCTAGATGGAGCGGGGCGTGTTCCGTGGTCTGTGTGCGTGTCTCCTCCAGTATGCAGCGCGACCCTGTGGGGCAGGCCGGCAACGTATCCTTTGCCACCTCCAGGCCCAGCGCGTGTTGTCCGGCACTGAGCAGTTGCTGGGGACGTTTTGTCTGAATGCTGAACTGAGGGGACTGGCCCTAGCCCCGGCTTCCGGGTCTCTGGAGGGGAGCCCCCAGGCTACCTCGCATCCTGGGCAGCGGGGTCTGGCCAGTAGGCTCCTTCTCCCGCAGCCGGAGCTGGTGGGAGCAGCTGCTGAGGGCCAGGGCTTCTGGACGTGGGATCCCAGGTCGGTAGCTGCTGTGACCTGTGGCCGCAGTGAGGATGGCTCAGCGCTAAGTTCGAAGCCCTCCGCTCCTAAGGGAAGTGGGGGGAGCTCTCTCTGCAGCTCACCGGACTTCTTGGGAAGGGATTTAGATGTCCTCTGGCCCAGGAAGGGGCTGTTTCTTCACACCCTTCCAGGCAGACGCCATGGGGCCCTCTTCAGGGCTGCGGAACGCACGCTTTGGCCTCAGCCAAGTGGAGGCTCCTCCTGCACCCCCGGAGAAAGAAGGATGTCGCTCTGTCTCCCCTCCCCAGCAGCCCTCCGCTCTGGGCTCATTTCCTATTTGTGCCCACGGGGTGCCCTGCAGGGCAGGGAGCTCAGCTGCTGGGGTTTCCCGTCACGTCTTGTTCCCAGGAACACGGGTGAAGCTGGACGGCTCTCTCTCTATCATGTGTCCTGTCTGCTTTGTGGGGCTGTTGGAAGAGCAAATGAGGTGGCAGATCTGGGCTTGTGACTCTTCAGGGACACAAGACAAACACTGTCGGTATTCTCTGTAAGGAAATCTGCACGAAACATACATTACAAGGAACCTCTTCCTATTTGCAATAGCATTTGCTGTAATATTCCTTCAAGTAGGCAGCTGGCTGGCTATTCACAACGGCATTCATTTGGCAAAAGGTAATTTCCACACCACTTCTAAAGAACCCAGAAAATCACAGGACACAGAATTCTAGAGCTGGGAGCCTTCTGGAAGCCGTCTACTGCAGCCCACTCATTTCTCAGATGGCGAGTGCAGACCAGGGAGGGGAGCTCCCTCACCGGGCTCCCAGTGACGCCCGGCGATGGCCTCCCGGGAGAGGGGTGTGCGGGCACGTGTGGGCACCCATAGGTGCTGGGACTGGAACTCCGCCCTCCCCTTGCCGATTCTCCCCTGGCAATTGGGGAAACTCAGTAAAACCCCTTTAAAAAGGGTTTTATGAAGGTGACAAATCTATCCTGTGCCCAAATCTCTCTCCCAGCCCTTCCACCATCATGGTAAATTGGAGTTCCTGAGGGCCCCTGAGTACCGAGTCACAGCGCCGGCCTCCGTGTGTTGTGGCTGTGTGCGTCTGTGTCTCGCACGGCCTGTGAGCACTGTACAGTCCACGGCCTCCAGCCTGCGACTGGAACAAGTAGGTGGTTAGGAGAGGCTGGTGGGATGACTGGCTGCCCAAATGCGGTGACCCACTGCAGGTTCAGCAGTGGCCCCTCCCCACGTCGCC